TTATTTTTATTTCTTAAAAAAAAAATATGCAATGTATTGAAATTATTTTTCCTGAGGAATAAATAATTATTATAAATCAATGAATATTAAATGAATATTCAATGGATATTTGGCGGATATTCGGTGAATGACCAATTATCCGGGTGTTGAGTTTTATTGACTGACCGATTATCCGGGTGTTGAGCTTTATTGATTGACCAAGTACTCAAACACCCGGATAATCAACAGATACAACCACTAACCGTAGAATAATTAACACAATGTATAAAACATGAATGAAATTTGCTGGTTCTATTCAAACCATCTTCTGAAAGGTTAAAGATATTAATGATAATTTGCCAGAGGCTAGCAAAATTAGGATCTATCACAAGTCCCTACAGAAAGTATTAGGTAAATTAAAAGATAATAGATAATTACAGAAAAATTTCGAAAGTTGCTATTTTCCCTAGTGTTAAAAAAAATATATAATAAAAATAAAATCATAAAATCACATGACAACGATTCTCATATGACTTCTATATCAACTCCCATTATAATGACAATCTCGTTATACTGACATTTTTTGCTTGTTCGGAGAGTGTCGTTATAGCGGGGGTGACTTGTATTATTGTGGTATTTCCAATAATTAATTCGTTACTCGTAATTAGTTTTGTCACGCGTGTTTAATTTCGTAATTACGTTTTTAAAGAAGGAAAGTGATAGTAATTACGTATTACGTATTTACGGTAATTAGGAAATTACTAGAGATGGGCAGATCAGTACTATACGTATAGTGATTGATACATATAGTGCGTATAGTTCTAGAAAAATATAGTAGTAAATGTAAATCAATTCCTGTTTAGGTTATTGTCAAATAATAGATGTAATATTACTCTTCTCATGATATATATATTTTAAACTTGCCTGCAATTTGGCAACATTTTAATATTAACGTTCTAGTTCAATATCTAGATGTGAAAAACATTTACGTCTTTGTCCAAATGCCACAATACAAATTAAAAGAAATTATTTTGGAGAACATTTTAATACTTCAAATACTAGTAGTGTACAGATAAATTACAACATAATTGAAAATTTCATCAAAGAAGCTGATGAAAATTTTATTGAAGAATCAAATGAAAATGAAAGCAGTTTTGATTTTTATGATATTTAATTCATTCAATATAATTAATGATTCATAAATAAAGCCTAAAAAGTGTAGTATTATAATAGCCAAATTATTTTTTTTTTCTTATTATTTGAAAATCACCCAATCAAATTTCAAACTACTATATGTACTATACGTACTATACGCACTATACATAAAGTATTGTATAGTGTTCAACTATATGCCATTTGCCCATCTCTAGAAATTACCATCCTATGTATAATAACAAACAATGTAAAAACTTAGCAAATTTTCAAGGAAAGCCCATAGGAAATTTTACTTTAAACCAAAAAAAAAATTAACAAATGAAGTTCTGACTAGAGAGACAAGTACATAAAATGTTAATAAAATGAAAAATAAAGAAGAATAACAACAAAATAATAATAAAATAATCCTGAAAACATTTCAAAATTAAAGGAAAGAAGGAAAAAATTGATAACAACAAATTTCATGAGAAAAAAATAACAATACAGTGGACTCTGGATATAATGAAGCATTTGTTTTAGAAAAAAATTCATTATAATTGGTTCAGTCTAAAGACCTCATAAATTTTGCATAAATTTTCAAAGTATAGACATCACTTTCTGTCCTACCTTTTAAAAAAAGAGCATTATTGGTTGAGATTTTTTTCTCAAATTATTTATATACAGTGAACCCTTGTTTCAACGAAGTATAATTAAATTTTTGATACAACGAATTTTTAAAAACGTTGTTACACATGAAAACATAAAAATTCGTTGAAACGCGATTAGTAACCTTGTTTCAACGAATGTTGAATAAAATTTTCTTATATGTCCAACCACTTCGTTGAAACAAGGGCAGACTGTATGTGTGTGTATGCACACTCCTCTTTACACCAATAGCACATTATCTTCATGTTTATGATTTGGTTTCTCTTGAATAGGTTTTTCACTATCGCCTGTTAAAGTGGTATTTATATCATAAAAATTTCGATTAGAAAAATTCGCTTTTCTATTTTAATAGATATTAATAAAACGAATTTATATACATACATTCACTACATTTCAGGTAATTTTCCGAGTCATTTTTTAGAAAGCCAACAAAAACAAATTTTCTTACTATTTAAAAGTTTTTGTAAATAACATTGACGTTAGTATTAAAAGGGTAAATGGGGTAAACACTATGATTCGAAACACTTTAAAAAGAGTGAACTGTATAACTCGGGTCAATAATAGAGAATTAAATTTAATACTAATGTTGTTTGACGAAATGTTACCACTGTTATAAAACTATTACGTCAAATTCGCTGCCATTAAGTCAAAATGACGTAAGTAAATTGGTAGTATTGTTGTAATCATAAATGTAAGGCTGTTGAACAAAGCTGGTTAAGTTGATTTGCAAGTAAATCAAAACGAATTTGAATAAGGGTAACCAACTGAAACAAATAGTTCACAAGTGAATAAAAGGAATTTTATAGCATTGTAAAAGGGTCATCTTTATTTATTTACAGTAATCTGGTACCATTAAGTGTGCTCAAAGATTCGACTAGGTGTGGTAATCGAGAACCAAAGTAAATTCGTAATTAACAAGCACCAAATTATTTGCAATCAGCCGACAAGAGTGGCCCAAAAGTTATTCCATAATTGTTAATTAACCGAAATCATACTTCGCAATATCACCATTAACAAGTTGTAAAAAGTTTATTATATTATTATAATTTAGCTTTAAGAAATAAAATAAAAAGATAAATGAAATGAAGATAATAGATTATAGTGGAGATTAAATCAATTCTTTTACTATTGTTACTAGAATCTAATGTTTACTAAGTAATTAATTAATATTGTTAGTAATGGATATTAATTTCCGATTGATTAATAATAAAATTTTATTCACCTTTGTTAACATTTTAGAAAAAAGAGTCGCAATCAAGATTATTTAACGAACTGTCATTACTTGTATAAATTTTAAAGCTTTTAGATTTGGCGATCTTTTCATCTAAGATTCTACTTGTATGGTGTGCATCTGGATGTGGTTTGTGTGCTTGTTGAAAACCATTTCTACTACTGCTACTAGTAGTATTATTACTATTATTATTTTTAATAATTTCGTTACGTTTATCATAGGCAAAGTTATTCAGCTCTCTACTGGTTGGTCTTTTTGATGGATCCACATCCCAACACATCTGCATCATTTGTACATAATCATCAGGCATTCCAGGTAATATTGGTGGTCGTAAACCTTCTGCACATATATCAAAAATCAAACGATGATTGTGAACTCTATCATCAAATGGTGGATGGCCTGCAAATATTTCCCACATTAACATTCCAACACTATAGATATCAGTTTCTTTGGTGTTCTTCATGTTATTTCCTCTAAGTAGCTCGGGTGCAACATATGATACAATCCCATGGACTTTATTTGATGATTCATCATCAACTGGTCCACATAATCCTAAATCTGTAATATAACAATTACCTCCACTACCCATTAATATATTACCACTATGTAGATCACAATGGATTAAATCTTTTTTATGTATATCATATAATGCTTTCATAAATATCTAAAGATTGTAATTCTGTCTTTTAATGTTAAATGATTGTTTTGCAAATAATCCCTTAAATTTCCTCCTGGAGCATAAGGTAAAACTATTGCATAATTTCCATTATCTGGGAATTTAGTTATACCATAGCACTGAATAATCAATGCTGATTTAATTTTACAATAATTCATTGCCTATTGATTATAAAATCAATTAGTATTTTATAATACAGCATTGTTTTAAATAACAACTACCAACCTCATCAAAAAAGGCTTTTCCTGGATTACTTGAATTATTTAAACTTTTTAATACTACTCTCTGATCAAAACTCTTTTTAATAAATTTAATATTTCTGATGTGCATCAGTTAATTAGTTTGAAAAGCAAAGCAA